GTCGGCAAAGGTTTTCGATTAAAGCTGATTTTTCATCAGTTTTCACCAAACTAACACGATAGAGGCTGATCAGAAGTTTTACCCACGGATATAATCTTCTATTAACTAACAAATTTTTTAACTATAAGCAAATGAAAGATTCTGACGAAGAGTAGAATATGATGACTCAACCGTTGGTATTTAATTTTGAAAGCAACTTAAATTAGAATGAATATTTTATTATGACTGCATAAAGATGATGACTGAGTGAGAAATCTGACAAATAAAAAATTATAAAATTTAGTCTTGAATTCACTGAAAACAACATGCCTACTGTTAATATCAAAATTAGCATAATTTGAAAGACTACTTTCAATAGTGTATTTAATTCAATGAAAGTTTACATCAACTCGCGACCAACATTCATTTCGAGCAATCAATACAACACTAAGAAATATAGGAAAGTAAATATTTTTACTCAGTGTTAGGAAAAATAAATATCTGTGCAATCTGCTGATTCTTATTAATAATTCACGTAAAATATCAGTAGTTCTGTATATTCATTATCAACCGGTTTTAATCTGGACATTTTTCAGAAGAGAATATTCTAACAATTAGTTTCTTTCTATGACTATTCAGAAAGTGCTTGAATATTTTAAATCCTTTTTTTTCTAAACAAGACAACAATTAATCAAATTTTTCATTCATTGTATTATCTGATCTTGAACATAATCGTTCGGGGATATTAGTGAACATCGAATTTACAAATATTTCTAAACATATCAATGATTCAATAGCTCATAGATGAAAAAGAATCTACTCTATAATAGTCTGTTGACAGATAAATTCTTTTATATAAAGTTTGTCTCCAATTTTGTTTTAATGTACTTACAGTGAGTACCAAAATTATTCAACAAGGTTTATGTCCAGTTTTTTCAACTGCCGTAAACATTAGAAAGGATTCCAATAGTAATTTGGATGGAGCTAATGGTTTCCATGAAGAATTTATGGAAACAAAACTTATTATTTTCAAATTAGCAAAGATAGGGACTTCAGCAAATTAAAACCCTACTTTTTCAATATCTCGACCATGTACATATAATTTTGTTCAGACTACATAGAACAATAGGGTAAATCATCTTTTACACAAAGAGACATTGTCAAAGTCAGTGGAACTTTTTTTTAATAGAGATACAGCAATTTGATTGAAGTTCCAAAAATGATTTTTCTACAGAAAATTGGAAAAAAACGACTTCACAGAGTTTGGTAAGGTTGCTGTATCTCAGCTAAAAAAAGCTGCAAGGAACTTATTTTGTAGAGAACTTTTTTTTTTATCATTATATGTAATCTGAACAAAATTATATTTACCCGTTATAGGTGCTTAAAAACTAGCCTTTTGGTTTTCTAGAGTCCCTGTCTTTAGGAACCTGATAATAATTTATATTTTTGAAAATAGTTTTCTCTATTCAAATCATTATTTGGATTCTTTCTAACGCTTATATCAGTAGAAAACAATTGAAAATAAACGTTGTTGAATAACTTTGGTACTTGCTGTTTATTTTTCTGTTATATTCGTTTTTTAAGATGCATGTTTAATAGTAAAACATCATGACATATGTACTGTGAAAAATGTAATCTTAACTAAAAGGTTATTAATAAAATGACGCAACTTCTTTTAGATGATTTTCTTTTCGAAACCAGTAATCTCTTCGTTCAACTCTAAACTGTTCTCTCCAAAGATTAGCAAATCGATTGAAATTTTAGCTGTCCGACTGATATATTTTCTGTTGAAATTTCACTATAAAGAAAAACTAGTTGTTATCGTCTAATATAGATGATTTCTAAACGTTCTTTATCGACCTTCAATCAATCTTTCTTGCTTCTTTTTCTTTTTTACGAATGATATTCAACAATGTCATCTTCTTATATGCCTGATACATTAGTACAGATATTGTTTACATATAAGCTAATAACTTTTTTCTTATCTATATCAATGTGTATACACAATCATCGAGTGTTGGTCTAATGTTATACTAAAAAGGAATGGTTGGTTAGCCTTTTGTTGCTTATATTACTTTTCTTCTAAATGATTAACTCGTTAAAATGTCGAAGAACATAACAAACAAACAATGATGGGTGGTCCATAATTAATGGCTGTGCTCTGCATACGAGTTTTTCATCATCTGATACGTTTTATTAAAAAGAAATATACTGCAAGATATAGCATGAAAAGATCTACAATCTGGAAAGCGAAGCTTATTACATACATTCATATTTAGTTTTCGAAATAGAGAAAATTCTGTGTGATCGATATTTGATGCTGCGAACACGATCGATTTTTTTGACGATAGCGTCTCCAACATAATAAATCAAAACATTGAGATTGGAACTTTTTGATAGTCATCTATAATTGCTTACAAAATGCATGAAATTCTTTTCACATTTTGTTAATAATTCCTAATGTTTATGCCGGATGGCGTTGCCTTGCTGATAGATGAAATCATCAACTGGTGGATGTTGACCTTCAGCTTGTACATATGAAGGAAAAACTTCAACATCGTTTTCATGTGATTATGTTTTGTCAGATTTAAATATATTTGGAGATTCAAAATCATTTTTAGAAGCTCCTAAAAACATAATAATTCTTTTTTGGATAGAAGCACATGTCAATTAGTCTAAAACCAACCATTGATTATGCTCTTCAATATGGTTCTTTGATCGAAGAAATAAGAAAAGGAATTGGTTGTATACCAAAAACAAAACGATCTTATTCGTAACGTCGAAAATTAGTCATACAGAATTTTGACTCTTTTAAAAGTAAGGAAGTACACATCAAACAAGCATTGTGATGTGGATTATAGAACTCGTCATGTTGGATCTTGTGATATATCTTGTTTTTTTAAAAAAATGCAATTGATGATATAAAAATAAACTCCAAAACACGACCATACATTATGACATATCTATGACAATTCGTTTAGAATATGTTTATTTTATTACAAGTTGAACATATGATTTATTGTTCCAATGTTAAATTCCATTTTTGCAATAGAAGACATTGGTTCTTCTATCGTGACCAGCTTGTTGTCGTAATTTTTATTTAAAAATCTTTTTAAAGAAAAGCAAAGTGATTTTTTACGGACTTTTAAAGACCAGAGACAATGTTGGTCACAGTTTTTTAAGATTTTCAACTCGACATGTTGAGAAATATGCATTTTTTGATGTAAATATCCTAATTGAAGCTCTCACTTCTTTAAGAAATCAATTAATTAAATGGATCTTCTATTGTGGGTAGAAATCTACCCAACTATTATTTATTCATTCATATTTAACTAAAAAGCCTAATTTATATAACAATAGTCGATTAATAAATCTTCATTTAGATAATAGTAAAGAAATAAATTGAAATTATTCAACAGTTAAGTATGTTTGTGTAGCATTAAATTCATGCTTCTACGTACAGCATAGCAAAAATAATGATTTCGACAGATAATGTTTCACAAGAAAGACTTTATCAAGAAATTTGAGCCAGTAGCCATGCTTAATTACGTATAATCAATTTGTTTTGAACACATTTATTGAAACTATTTATCAATTAGATCGAACATCTGAAAACTACGTAAATAGCTTCAATACTTGATGAAACCATAACTTGATTTACTTTCTTGTAGGCTTTTATTTATCAAAACCACTGCTTTTGCTATATCCAAAGTAGGCTATATTAAACAAATTTAAATTATCCGACGTTTGAAATTTCCCAATTTAAGCCATAATGCAATTGAATATATAATAGAAGAACTTTTTTCCTATATAAATAATTTCCATAATTTAAAATACGTAAACTTACAAATGCATTAAGTCCTATTTAGTCGATAATAGATTACTATTATTTTCATCAGCAAAATATTTAAATGAAACTTCCATAAATACAAATAATTTTAAAGAATTAATTAAATTTAAAATCATATGTTAAAATACAACTTTTCATTCACTTTTAATAAGACAGCGAAACATATGTAATAAATTCTTTTAGCAAGATTAAATCATACCTCTTTGACGTGCGTTTTAGTTTATCCAATGGATAACATCGAATTAATTTGGAATGTGAGTTTGTTTGAAACGATTATGTTTTTTTTTTAAATGGCTGAAAATCATGTGATCATCATTCAGGCAAATCCTCGACCAGGAACTGGTTAGGAAATGGCCTCTCGAAATTTCGGAAAATTTTCGCTTCCTCCTCTAGCGAAACTAAACGACTTTCTGCATTATTTTTTGCTCACCAATTCTCGCAATAGGGATCAAACCGCCCTCCATGTCGTGAATTCTATATGTTCATTAGTCGACTTTCCTCTGTCCGATCTTGAGTACTTTAAACATATCTATCTTATCATTTAAAAACATTTCATGAACAAATCTTTCGATCATTATTAATTATGAATCAATGCTATAAACTTGACATTACAATTTATTTTTTCATTATTTCATCTATCTATACTTCTCAACATTGAAATTTTTCATTTTCAAAGTAAAATAAGATGTTGTTTATTGTTCAATTGTTTAATTTTAGATTTTAGATTTTAGATTTTAGATTTTAGATTTTAGATTTTAGATTTTCATCTGCTGACCATATGATATTCTTAGAATATAGTGATGCAATTTATCAGAATACAATTAAAGATAACACCAATAGATAATCTTATACATGTTATTTGATAAAATATTCTTTGTTTATAAATTAACACGTGATTTGTCTTTTATGAAAGATTACTGACTAGTAGTATTTTCTTTATCATTCTTTCTTTATATATATATATATCTGTTTACGTCATGAATGCACACTGAAATAAAATCGAAACGAAAGAAGAGAGAAAAAAAAAGAAAAAGAATAATTTTTCTTTTTACATATACTTCATTTCACCATCTTGTCCATTTCGATAATCATATATAGAATTGGTGACTTTGTTACATTCGTTGTATTTTTTTTTAAAATCTAATTAATATTTAAAAAAAAATCAATACTAATGGATAATCATAAATTATTTGTTGGTAATATGGCAGCACGTATAACACAACGTGATCTTTGGCGATTTTTTTCATCATATGGTCTTATCGATGAATGTGCTAAATTTCATGAATCTTATGCATTTATACGTTTTGTTCATGCTGATGATGCACAACGAGCACGTCAAGAAACACATGGAGCTATGTTAAAAGGACGAAAACTTAAAGTTGAATTTGCTGCAAACGTACATAAAAATAATTCATCATCATCAAGGAATCAACAAAGTAATTATGATTTCCAAAAAATTTTTATTATTCAAATTTTTATTATTATTAAGAATATTTATATATTGAACCATTACGTCGAACTGTAAATACGCCGTCACCAACAATATCATCACCAATAATAATCGATAATAAAAAAATACATAATAGAATATTCTCTACAAATTTATCGAATAATGAAGAATTTCTTACACCTGATTTATTACGTTTGGCTGGAATTCAATCATCAACACCAGATAATGGTTATGAAACAAATTCTTCATCAATATTGAACAGTAATTGTGATTCACGTTTTTTTCCTCTTTCAATTCATCAACATAATGTTTATTCAAATGTCTTATCGAATCAAGTAAGTCACGAATCTTCTTATAAGATAAATGAAACATATAAAGTTTATCTATATTTCTTTGATACAATCAAAGGTTAACGAGTACAAATGAATTAATCTCTTTTAGTTTGAGACTATATGCATTATGTAGATTGTGATGAGTTATGAATATTTCAAAACGAGGTCGACTCCTTAAGCTTGTTACTATTGACATATTACATTTTTAGAATACATTCAGATATCTTCGTTATTTATATCGCTCATATACACTCACAGATTCGATGTTCTTATTTCAGAACAGCAATAGTTTTTCAATGATCTGCTATTTTCAGGATTAACTATTTTGCTTCACACTTTTTTATGCAAAGGTTCAAGTCGAAATTCGGATAATTGAAAAATACGGTAAAAAATGTAATATGAGGGCAGTAATAAGTGATAAGTCCAAACTCTTTTCGAAGTATTTATAACCCATTAAGGTATACATGATCCTTTAATCCCAACTTGAGTGATTAATCAGTTGCAGGAAAGTAGCTTTTTTGGTTAACATTTGCTTTGAATTTTATTATTATTAACTTTAAACAACTTTGGATTCACTATATGTGTTTTTTTTTCTTAGAGCAATCGCCAAAATGAAGATATTCATTTAATATCATTAGATTTTGCTCGTATACGTTTATTTTCCGATGTATCGTCCGGATTTGGTGATGATTCAAATTCATTTATCGAATAATCCAAAAAAAAATCTGTTACTTATGTGGTAATTATGTTAAAATATTAATTGAACATATGATCTGTCGTTTTTTTTTGTTGTATTCTAATTGTAAATAGATAACTGTTTTCTTTGAGCATCGTCTACCTTCTTGATTGATGAACTTAGTACAACAATTGTTATTTTTCTGTGTGAATGTGTGTCTATAATATCTGAAGTCTTTTTTGTCTTTCTTTTTTTTTCGTGCCTTTAATATCTTATTTTTTATATTTTTGTACATTCTCATGAACATTGTATGTCTATTAAATATATAATTCAAAACAAAAATAACTTATTTATAATGTGTCATAGAAATATTCTACTCGACAAAATAATGAATATGGTAAACGAATACAAAAGTTGACTTAATGAGTTGTCTCTTAGATTCTATTATACATACATAAGAATATATTCAAGAATGTGCAGTGTTGATTTTAACATGGGAATATTAATAATACTGACATTACTCGTAAGAAGTTCATAATAGAACTAACTACATTAATCTCGTAGTTCAGAAAAAACTGATACATCAATGCTAATTTATTTTAATTAAGATGTATAGCCAATAAAAATTAATATCGATATGTCAATGTCAGTATCGTTGACTATGCGTTCAAAGAGGAGGTCTTCACTTTATAGAAATGTTCATAAATAGAGGTTTTATTGTACGTACCAAATTTTAGGTAATATCTCTTTTTATTTGCGCTTTGGAAAATATGTATAGTCCGAATATAAATATGCGTTGCTTCCACAGACTCGATATAACTTCAAAATCACAAATAAACGAATGGCATATATTTTGTAGAAAAAAAAGCTGCTGAAACTAAAAATCTCAAAAGAAAAATTGTCGAAAGTACTATTAGTGCAGCCTTAGTACACTCTTTTACAAGACTGCGTGAATAATCTGCCGCAACATGCATATCTGGCACTCATACATGAATTGTGTGTGCTTGAATGACATAATTACCATTTTTAATATATTCATTTTCTATGGTTTTTACTTTTATCATCTTCCCGCATTCACACATATTCAATAAATAAATGTTTGTGTAACTATTTCCTTTGCTCTATTGGAAGTTATGAATAGATTTTTCTTCACTTTGCTAATGTCTTATAAGAGGCATTTTCATTGTTTATCTTGGTAATAGTGTTTTTTCGTTTCTTGAATAAAGTTAAATTATTTTTTATATAGTTAATATTAAAAATTTTGTTATTCGCATTTCACTGTTTTTGTCTTTCGCAATCCGTGCAAAAGTACTTTCGCTATTGCAAATTATTCTCGGAAAAACTTTCGTTTATTGTGCTTTTCCCTGACTATACATTTCGCTAA